TCGACCCCGGCCGCCGGGCGGGGCCAGCAGGACCGGGGTACAGTGCTTGGGTGGGACTCGGGACCTCTTGGCTGGGGGAGGGAGGGCCTGGAGGTGGTTGGAGCCAAGAGCCTGCCCGTTTGGGGTGCCTCTGGGGATGAACCACAACCCTGAGATTAAGTTACTCCAGGGGTCCGCGGGCGGGGCCGGGGGCGGAGCAGCGCCCCAGGGAGGGAGGGACTGGGCCCAGGAAGAGAGTCACGGGAGACGAGAGAGAGGGCCCTGGAAAGAAGCCAGGGGAGAGGAGAGTGGGGCGCGGGAGGGGCCAAAGCTTGGGCCAAGGGGGCTTCCCCTCGAGGTTGCTGATGTCCAGGGTGGCTGGGAGCTGCCACGCTGTCTCTGCAGTTGTCCCTCCTCCACTCAAAAGCCAGCTGCCCTTCCCTCCTCCTGCAAGTTCTACCTTGATGACGGTCCTTCCTGGGTGTGGAAGGGTCCCAGGCAGCTGCAGTTCTTCCTTGGGCATGGATTCCAAAGACCCCCTCCAAATGCCACCACGGCCTCCACAGGGGCTGGAAACAATATTGAGGCAAGGGAGCTAAGGCCCACACTGGCCCTGAACCCTGACCTGCACCTGCTTTCTGAACTATGGCCCAGGGGAACAGACTCAGGGTGGACTGGCCATGTGGGCTTGAAATAGACTCCCAGATCCTTGTTCACTATTGCTGTGTAACGAAACACTCCAAAGCTTAATGCCTTAAAGTGCCCCTTTATTGCCTGGCCTATGGATCACCCAGCTCAGCCAGGCAGCCCTGCCTTGGGGTCTCTCTGCAGTGGTAATCAGGTGGCAGCTGGGGCTGGAGTCGTCTGAAGGCCAAACGAGGTGGACCGTCCAGGATGGCCTCTTCACCCCTGGCCCTCAGTTGGGTGGCTGGAACAGCCAGGGCCAGCTGGCCTCCCTTGTGGCTGGTGTGGGCTTCCCCGAAGCCTGGTGGTCTCAGGGTAGTCGGATTCTCCCGTAGCAGCTGGCTCCTTCCAGAGCATGTTCACCAGGCCAGGCCAAGCTGCCAGGCTTTGTGTGACCTGGCCTCAGATGTCATATGGTGTCATTCCTACTGCATCCTGTGGGTCAGAAAGTCCTGGGCCACCCGCAGATTCCAGGGAAGGGGTATCACCAGGTGGGAACGCTGGGGAACACGGTCATGAAGCCAGCATCCAAGTCCAGCTGTCACCGCCCCAGTAGCTCTACAGGGGCCTGTGTCTCCCCGCTTTAGCCATTCCTCCTGGTGTCTCAGAAGCCAGAGTTTACCCACCAGAGCACCCAGCCCAGAAGCTGGCCCCACCCCACCCCACAGCCAGGCAGGCCTCTTCCTCTGGTGCACGAGGGGCCCAGGATAAGTGCGCATCTTCGCATGTCCCGTGCAGTCCCCTTCCTGCCTGTGATTGTGTGGAAAATGAGGATGAGTCTCAGCTTCCAGCAGCAGCAGCCCTGGGGCAGGCAGAGGCAACAGCAGCCCCATCAAGGAGCCCCTGGGAGAGCCAGCAGCTCTACAGAGCACCGTGCTCCTCAGACTCACTCAGGTCGAGGTGCCCGGCAGTGCAGATTGCAGAGCTGAGGTGCATGAAAATATCAGCAAGGTGCCTGCTGTGGGACGCAGCCTGGTGGCTCCTCAAAAAGTTAAGCGTAGAATTATCCTGTGGTCCAGCAACTGTCTTCCTGGGTGCCTACCCAAAGGAGTTGAAAACAGACACTCAGACAGATGCTTGTTCACAACAGCCAAAGGGAAGAACAACACAAGCATCCGTTGCCAGGTGAATAGATCCACAAAATGCAGTGTAGACGTGTAAGGTAACATGACTCAGCCATGAGGAGAGAAATTCCCACACAGGCTACAGTGTGGATGAACCTTGAGACATTATGCTCAGCAAAAGAAGCCAGACACAAAGGCCACGTCTTCCACGATTTTGTGTATATGGAATGTCCAGGCCGGGCGTGGTGGCTCACACCTGTAATCCTAGCACTTTGGTAGGCCGAGGCAGGCAGATCACATGATGTCAAGAGTTCGAGACCAGCCTGGCCAACATGGTGAAACCCTGTCTCTACTAAAAATACAAAAATTAGCCAGCCGTGGTGGTGCGCACCTGTAATCCCAGCTACTCGGGAGGCTGAGACACGAGAATCGCTTGCACCCAGAAGGCAGAGCTTGCAGTGAACTGAGATCTCGCCACTGCACTCCAGCCTGGGTGACACAGCAAGACTCCATCTTGAAAAAGAGAGAGAGAGAGAAAGAGAGAGGAGAGAGAGAGAGAAAGAAAGAAAAGAGGCCGGGCGCGGTGGCTCAAGCCTGTGGTCCCAGCACTTTGGGAGGCCGAGACGGGCGACACTGCACTCCAGTCTGGCCGACAGAGCGAGACTCCATCTCAAAAAAAAAAAAGACAAGAAAAGAAAGAGAGAGAGAAAGAAGGAAGGAAGGAAGGAAGAAAAGAAAAGAGAAAAAAGAAAGAAAGAAGGAAACGTCCAGAACAGGTAAATCCATGAGACAGAAAAGCAGCTGCGGACTGGTGGAGCTGAGGGCAGGGAGAATGAAGAATGCTGACTAATGGTTTCCTTTCCTTTCGGGGTGAAGAAAGCGTTCTGGAACTAAGTGCTGGTGGTCGCACAACAATGTGAATGTACTACATGGCACTCGGTGTGCACTGTGAAGTGGTTAATGTTCTGTGAATTTCAGTTCCATTTTAAACAAATTTTATTTAGAGACAGGGGCTCATTATGTGGCTTAGGCTGGACTTGAACTCCTGGCCCCAAGCAATTCCCCCACCTCGGCCTGCTGAGTAGCTGGGACTACAGGTTCACACTACCATGCCTGGCTCGGTTCAATTTTTTGTTTTTTAAAAAGGAAAAACCCATGTCGCTGAGGCTGTTCAGGAACATTCCACGCTGTCTATGACCATAGGGCCACTGCCCACCCGTGGAGCTGAGGACAGGGCAAGCGAGACCTGCTGTCCCTCCTCACGAGATGGAAAGGGAGACAAGGCAGAAGCAGTCCAGACACTTTACCAGTTCCTTCTGTGCACTGGGGTGGCTCAAACAGGGGGTTCGGGACAGGCCTGATGTCACAAGGAGTTAGGACAGGCATGCCAATAGGCAGAGGACAGCCTCCCTGAGGACACGACACCCCCCAGAAACCCGAAGATCCAAGTCAGGAGAAAGGAAGCTGTCCTGGCAGGAGGAGACCAGGCCGGAAGAGGCGTCATGGCCCTGGGGGCAGTTCCCTTGGCCTGTGTTTGGCACTTCCCCGGGGCACTGGGAGTCTTGGAGGGGTTGGGCAGGGCAGGTGGTCAGATGCCCCTCTGGGAGGTCACTGCCCCTGTGGGAGGTCACCGAGACTGCCTGGGGCCAGGGGAGGAGGGGACTGGTCTGAGGGCCTTTGGCTGTCCAGAGCGGTGGCTGTGCAGAGGGTGGCTTTGGTCCCCATGGAAGTGGGTGCAGGAGGAGGTGGAGGAGGAGCTTGGTTTGGGGAGGGGCTGCAGGAGGGGGAATGAGAGGACTCAGTGTGGCCAGGTGGCCTGAGTCACGGTGGAGAGCTCTGAAAAGCCACCTCTGGCTTTGGCAGTGTGGGGGCTTCGGAGACCCTGCTGAGTGTAGTGGCAGAGGCCCCTGCAGACGCCCTGTAGCAGGGCCAGAGGGCACCAGCGTCAGCTCCCCAGGGCTGCCAAGACAAACCACGACCAACCCAGCAGCTGGGAACAGCACAGCCATGGCCTTCCAGCCCTGGGGGATGAGTGTCCAAAATGCATCCCGCCAGGCGAGGGTCAAGGGTCACAGGGCGGCTCCTTCTGTGGGCTCCAGGGGAAGATCCATTCCTTGTCCTCTCCAGCTTCCCGAGGTGCCCCCGGCCCCCTCCTCACCTTCGAGGCCGGCAGAGTGCCCCTCCGTCCTCTCTCTGACTCTGCTGCCATCCTCCATCTCCACCTCCACCCTCCTGTTGCCTCTTCTGAGGCCCTTGTGACCACATGTAGGGCCCCCCAGGTCACCCAGGACCATCTTCCCGTCTTGGGTCCTTCTGTAGTCAAACCTGCTAAGTCCCCTTTGCCACCGAAGCTCCATACTTGCGGGTTCTGGGGATCCAGGTTTGGACTCTGGGGAGGATGCATCAGGAGGGCATCACCACCACAGCAGGACCCTGTGGCACCAGGATCTCCACAGCAGGACCCTGTGGCACCAGGATCTGCGGCCTGAGGCCTTGCCTCGAAGCAAGTGGGCCGGTTTCTTGCAGGACACCGAGGAGATTGCTGTGGGCTTCTGTCCTTCCTATGTAAGGGAAGTGAGGCAAGGTCCCCTGCTAAGGATGAGATGGGAGG